ATATTTGTGAAAGTGGATCTTGTCAAACATACCCGAAATGACTGCCATCTATTTGTGGCACGAATTGAATTATTAGTAAATTGTAAAATTAACAATGGAAATTTAACCAAGAATTGTAGTGAGAGCCATTATTAGCTTCTCTCGTGAGTCGAGTTGGATGCCAATGGAGTTTATGTCAGAGAGTTGGAGGCTTGTGATGGCAGCTTTTACAGAAGGTGAAGAATAGGTCACGTGCATTTATTCCTACAGTTAGCCAACAGCATCGAAGCAAAACTCTTTTATTTATTTTTTTATTATTTTTAGATGTGTAATTTGTTGATTATTCTGTGAAAGAGACAGAAATATGCTCGTTAAAAAAATGTGAGTTCTAGATTGTTGTTGAGGGCACTCCATCACCAGCTAGCCCTTAGGAAGAAACCGTATGAAGTTGTTTTTAACTATCTTTAGTCATAAGGAAATACCTAAGGGATTAGAAATGTTATTGGAAAAATCAAATTAGAAACCAATATTGTGGAGTTAATAAAGATTGAGTTGATGATGATATATACATTTTTTCTGAAATGCTGGTATTCATTGATAGGAAAATCCTCTGTGCACAAGCGAAATATTATTCAAGTGTTAGGGAAGCATGTGGTATTTAACAAATTATTTCTCGTAGCACTTCTATTTTTTTTTTTTTTTTTTTTTCTTTGGTAAACCCTGATGACATTGATAGTGGTATAGAGAAACATTATATGAGTTTCTTAACGGGAGTTCTGAATGGACCCATGGGCTGATTAGTGTCACGTCACAAAAGCCCTCAGCAATAAACAAATCTCCAACGTACCATAAGCTTTCGTTACTTTGGCAATTAAAAGGCAGTTATCTGGCTCTTAATAAAGGCCAGTCTAAGTGCGTAGATCTTTATGTAGATATAAATCTATCTATCTATTTATCTATATATATATACATACATATATATATAATATATATATATAATATATATATATATATATATATATATATATATATATATATATATATATATATATATATATATATATATATATATATATATATATATATATATATATATATATATATATATATGAATATAGACGCATACATTTTCATATATACCCGAGCCGGGTGCATGTTCAGTCCTTGACTTTACAATCAGTAGATTTTAGACTTTAGAAGATGCGTTTTTAAAGACATAATTAGTACTTCTGACTCACTAAAGGAGGTGAAACATGTAATGAGAATTATTTATTATATATTCACACAAACAAATTAGTGGGGTGCATCGTATATGCTGACAGGGGGGCTGACGTGGGAGACACCAGCATCAAAGCCTCCAGCGACTCCAGTGTCGAAACCACCCGCGAATCCTGCATCGAAGCCTCCACCAACACCAGCTACACCGGCGTCGAAGCCTCCAGCAGCTCCAGCACTTGGTGCGCTGTATTCCTCTGCTACAACACCAGCATCGAAGCCTCCAGTGACGAAACCTCCAGAAACGCCGGTGTCGAAGCCTCCACCTACACCAGCATCAAAGCCTCCACCTACACCGGCGTCGAAGCCTCCAGCAGCACTAGCGTCGAAGCCTCCAGCAGCACAGCTACACGAAGCCTCCAGCAGCACCAGCTCAAAGCCTCCAGCAGCACCAGCTACACGCCAAAGCCTCCAGCAGCACCAGCTACACCGGCGTCAAAGCCTCCAGCAGCACCAGCACTTGGTGCGCTGTATTCATCTGCAACAACACCAGTTTCGAAGCCTCCAGCGGCGCCAGCGCCAAATCCTCCAGCAACACCAGTGTCGAAACCTCCAGCAAGACCACCATCGAAGCCTCCGGCGACTCCAGCGTCGAAGCCTCCAGCAGCCCCGGCAGCTGGCACGCTGTATTCCCCACCGACGACACCTCCAGCAGCGCCACCTCCGGTACCACCTCCTACACCGCCAATGGCACTTTCAGGAAGGATCCCGCTGCCGACTAAGACGAAAGGAAGCACACTTCCGCCTCCAACGCCGCTGCCGCCGTGGCCTCCTGCACCACCGTGGCCTCCTGCGCCGCCGAGATCGACTCCCAGTCCGCCGTCGCCTCCGGCACCGTATCCTTGCGGCGCTGCGGACACCATGCAGACCAGGACCAGCACGGAGACACCTCGGAGCTGTTGAAGCGAAGGAATGAAAGATCGTTATGTAAAATGTATACCAATGCATGATATATAGTGCCATACAAGGACTAGGTACCTTTTGGCATATACAGTGTATAGCTGGACAGGGAAAGAGAGAGACATATACACAAACCGATACAGGAAGATTAATTTGAATAGAAAAAGAACAATTTCGGGTAGTTTGACCCCCCACCCCCTAAAAATCAGATTTTATTCTTTCAAGGTATATATTCTTACCATAATATTCAGGGGATTCATGTTTATAGTTTTTTTTTTCTTTTGAAATCTAGTTACTAGATGACTAAGCGTCTAGTCAGCGCGGTGTGGCACTCTTGCATTCGTTT